TTTTGTTTGTTGAATTTCTACCCTGCAACTTTGCTAAATTCCTCTACTACTTCTAGGAGTTTTTTTGTGGACTCCTTGGGATTTTCTATATATAGGATCAAATCATCTGTAAATAAAGATAATTTTACGTCTTCTTTTCCAATCTAGTTACCTTTTACAGGTACGCATCACTTAATGTCCATTTGAGCAATGTCTGACTACATATATGTCTGTGGTACCATAAGGTTCTAATAGAGTTCAGAAATCCTGATGGGAGAGCAGGACCTATGGGATGCATTTAATAAGTACATAGAGCTGACCTGTCCCTCACTAGTTCTCTGGGTCCCACATCTGTCCTGGCCCTCCACAGCTGCCTGTTCCACCACATTCATCTTAGGCAGGTACAGATACCACCAGAGCCACCAAGGGAGATGCCCTGTCAAGGCCCCTGCCCCACTGGCCCAGGCACCCTGTGCCTGGGCCGGAGACTGCAGTTCTTTTGCTGGTAGCAGCTGCTGGCTGCAGCAGTGATGGAAGGAGGAATAGGAAAAGTGGCACACTTATCTTGTTCCTGATTTCAAGGGGAAAGCTTTTGGTCTTTCTCCATTAAGTATAATGTTGGCTGTTGGCTTTTCACATTGCCCTGAATCACATTGAGGAATTTCCCTTCTATTCCAACCTTATTTATGTTCTTTCTTTTTCTTTTCTTCTTTTAACAAGAAAAGGTGTCGGGTTTTATCAGATTTTTTTTTTTTTCCATCCATAATCATGTGGTTATTTTCCTTTGTTTTATTGATGTTATACATTAAGTTGATTGATTTTCTAATGTTGAACCATTCCTGCATCCCTGGAATAAATCCCACTTGTTCATGGTGTTGGCTCTTAATATGCTGTTGGATTTTGTTCAGTAGTATTTTGTTGAGGATTTTCTTCTTCTCCTCCCCCTTCCTCTCCTCCTCCTCCTTCTCACACATTTTGACATTGACTGCAATTCCCTGCAATGCAACAGCTCTCTTCCCACTTCCTCCCTGTAGTTACCTCTTCCCTGTGTCCTTCTTTCCTATGCACTCCTGCACCCAAGCTATCTCCCTGTGTAAACACTGCCTTCCTATTCTCCTATGATTGATCATTCTAAGGAGTATATCTACCTGATATAAATGTTCATCCTATATGCTTGTCTATTATTTGGCTGGAAGCCACAGGAGTGAGTTCTGTTCCAGACCTGAAGGTAACTAGGGGTCATAGTCTCAGGGGTCTCACCAGGCTCTATCAGATCAGTAAACCTGGTCTTTTACTTTTTGTGTGTGACTTTGAGTTTTATTCCACATTGTTCTCCCACTCTATCCAGGATCTCCCGTACTGATCCCTTTCTGAGTGGTTGACAGTGGTAGCTGGGCATCATCTAGTTCTTCTGGTGTCATGGTCATATAGGGTGAGGATCACATGGTCAACTAGTCCCTTAGACTAATTGTTTTCATGTATTTTTTGTTTTCTTCATTTTTCTTTGCTCTGAATTAGGAGAGACCCATTGTTGCATCTACATGGGTGCTTGAAGGCTTTTAAGACCTCAGTTGCTACTCACCAAAGTAGGATTTTGTGTAGCATGTTATGCCAATTTAACTTGATGTCCCTTGCGACCATGGTCCCAAGCCCACAAGCCCAATTACTTGCTCCTTCAGGGTGGTTGGCTGTGGCTAAAACGTTATCATAACTTTGCCATTTGTTAGCTCTATTATATATTTGGACATTCTTATAGCACATACAAATATGTATGTAGAAATATCACTGCCAACCTTATATATATATATAGTCATAAGTATATCCCCTTTTCCCTAGACATACCTGATCATTCAACCTGTCTACCTATGTATTTACCTGTAGATTAATGTTTGTTATTACTGATAATGCAATATTGTATATGTAAAAGGATTTATCTTTGTTGTGTGTACCTCTTGTATACCTCTCTGTGGCTTCCTCTTCCTCAGTGTTGTTGAGATTTTTGCATCTATATTCATAAGAGATATTGGCCTTTAGTTTTCTTTTCTTGTAGTGTCTTTGTCTGGTTTGGTTACCAGGGTTATGTTTGCTTCATAGAATGAATTAAGGAATGTTCCTTCTTTCTCTTTCGGAAAAGTTTAAACTGTATTGGTATCAATTCTTCTTTAAGTGTTTGAATTCCTCTGTGAAATCATCTGGTCCAGGATCTTTTTATTTGTTGAGAGGTTTTTGATCAATGATTTGATCTCTTCACTTGTTATGGATCTGTTGAAACTTTCTGTTTCAGTTTGGGTAAGTCATGTGTCCAGTTTGTTGCTATACAGTTGTTCATAATTTTCTGCCATAATTATCTTTGTTTCTATTGAGTTCAGTTATCTTTCATTTTTTATTTTGTTTATTTGCATCTTTTCTCTTCTTTTGTCACTCTAGCTAAAGATTTGTCAATTTTATCGATCTTTTCAAAGAACCAACTTCTGGCTTTATTGATTCTAATGTTTTTGTGTTTTCTAATTTATTATTTCTTCTCTGATCTTTGTTACTTCCTTTCTCCTGGTAGGTTTAGGCTTAGTTTGCTCTTCTCTTCCTAGTTCCCAGAATTGTCGAGTTAAGCTGCTAATTTGAGATATTTCTTCTTTCTCCATGTAGGTGTTTACTACTATAAGTTTGTCTCTGAGCATTGCCTTTACTGCATCCCAAAAGTCTTGATATATTGTGCTTTCATTTTCACTTGACTGTAACAAGTTTGTGATTTCTTCCTTGACCCATTAGTAGTTTAAAAGTATGTTGTTTAATTTCTGTATGTTTGTGTATTTCCAGGTATTTTTTTTTTTTTTTTTTTTTTTTTGTGTGTGTGTGTGTATGTGTTATTGATTTCTAGCTTCACCCTGTTATGGGCAGAGAAAATTCTTTCTATTATTTCAACCTTTTAAAATTTATCAGGACTTGCTTTGTTACCTAATATAGGTTTATTCTGGAGAATGACCCATGTGCACTGGATAGAATGTATATTGTGCTGTTTTTGACTGGAGCATTCTATATATGTCTGTTAATTTTAGTTGTTTTTTTTAGTGTCATTCAGGTCCTCTGTTTCCTTGTTGATCTTCTTTCCAGATGTTCTGTCCAGTATTGACAGTGGTGTATTGAAGTCTCCAACTATTATTGCTGTACTATTTATTTCTCCCTTCAGTTCTATCAGTGCTTGCTTTATATATTTAGGTGCCCTGATGTTGGCTGCATATATATTTATGATTGTTAAGTCTTCTTGACCTTGGTGGAGTCTTGGCTCCAACCATAGGCAAGACTTTTGTCACCTTCTCTCTTGTCCTGAGCAAGTGGTACCCTTTGCTCAGTGTTTCTCCAGCTAGGCCAGGCCACCTGCTCCCCCTTCCCTTTACTAACAGAAAGACTGATAGCCAGAGAGGGTAGAAACCTGCCCAGGGGGGACATTGTGGACCTTAAACCCCACAATCTTTGGGGGTTCCTGGAGTCCAAGCAGAGATGATCTGAGCCTGGGTGGATGGGGTCTTGCCCCAGCACAGGAAGCTACAGGTGGTGGCAGATTTAGAAACAACTCAAAGAGATATATAGAGGAAATTCCCCCCGGCTCCACCTCCATTCTGCACATCCCTCCCTTTCCATCTCATAGCTACACATGCACCACAGCTGCCAGTCTGCCCTGTGGTCTGCTTCACATTGGACTTAATCTCTCTCCTGCTCAAACATTTCCCATGGCTCCCCTCCTGCTGACCCCATATACCATGGGTTCTCCTTTTGCTCATCCTGTACCTTCCTCAGGAATGACTTTCTGTTTTTTTGCTCAGCCAACTTCTATGCATCCTTCAAAACTTCATTCTTTGAGAGATCAATCATGGGAGAATAGAAGGGCTGTGTAGGCACAGGAAGACAGCTCAGGGGGCGGGGGGCAGGAGTGCATGGGAGGGAAGGGCACAGGGAAGAGGTAACTATGGGAAGTAGGAGGGGAGTTGTTGCATTATGGGAAATTATAGTCAATGTCATGAGACAAAGTGTATGTGAGTTGCTGTATGGAAAGTGAATTTGTTCTGTAAACTTTGACCAAAATCACAATAAAAATTTAAAGAAAAAAAAAAAAAAAACTTCACTCCTTGCCACCTCTCTTGAGAAGCTTTCCCTCATTAGTCATCTCAACACTGATGATCTCCCCATGTTGTGCTCTCTTTATGTCTGATCTCTTCCACAAGATGGATGCTCTGACCCCTTTGTGACCCAGCTCACCCAGACTGGACCCATAGCCCCAGTGGCAGTGTCTGGTAAATGGCTGAGTAGGCAGCTGTGTTTTGGGGCTGTCTTGGCCATCATTTAAAGTATATCCTGTTTTTTCTAATAGATTTGTTATCCACCTAGGCCTGTTCTGGAACTGGCTATGCCCTACCCACTCTCAGGACAGCAGCATTGGATGCCACCAGCCAAGAGCCCAGCCTGGGGCTGCCCTAATCACCAGGTCCCGGGCCCCAGGATACCTGGACTCCAAATTCACCTCCCATTCCAAGAGATTTGTCCCACACTCCCCTCACTGATGTCAAGCTCCTCTTTTGCTATTTAAAGGCAGGGCCCACAGGGTCTGTATCCTGCCCCTCCTACTGCTTCCCTTACATACCATCTCCCCATCAGGGCGCTCTAGAATCTTTTACCATCTGCATAAATTGGAGCTGCAGCCATCCTTGCATTATAGGTAGAGAAACTGAGGAACATAGTGAGCAGGTACCTCCCTGAGGCCACATATCTGCCAACAGAGAGCCTGGGCCTTGTCATATCCCAGGGCTTTACTGGTGATTTGAGTTCTTAGTGTCCTCACATCTCCAACCTCTAGCCCAGCTGGGTGTGGTGGTTTCTATGTGGACAGGTCCCCCATGTGGTGGACAGAAGTTGGGGGCTTGGGGGGAGGGCATTCCCTACTAGAGGGATGTACCATGTCAGGGCCTCACTGTAACTTAGCTCAGCCTCCAGCTGCAGGACCTCAGAGAGGCAGGACTGGGGGTACTCACGGGTGGGGTTTGACATGGATGTAGTTCTTGGGGATGAAGCCCTCGGCTCCCCGAAGCTCAGCTTTGTACCAGTTCTGGTCATCCTCCATGTTCAGGATCTGTGGGCAGAGATACATGGCTAATTAGCCACTGAGCAGGACAGCTGTTCTTTTCCTCCTGCCCAGCCCCTGTGCCTGTGGAGGAGACTCCTTCAGTTCCATCCAGAGGAGAGTTGGAGGCTTGGGGCAGGGACTGCCCAAGGTCACTGTGTGCCTGTGATTCTACCATCCTGCTTGGTCCTTGGGTCAGGATGCCCCATGCTTAGGCAGTCCACAGCCTTCCAGGGAAGGACAGATGAAGCCACAGAATAGGTCTGCTCAGTAGATTGGGGCCCTGCTAACCAGATCAATGGCCTGAGGTGAAATTCATGCATCAGCCTGCCTCCAGCCTTCAATTCTGCAGGGCCACCTCAAGATGCTGCCCAATGAACCTATTCAACAACAATTTATTGAGCTTCTACTGTGTGCCAAACACAAAGCAAGAAACAGACAATAATCAAAGAGTAAATAAACAAGGTAATTTGATGTAGTGGTGAGCACTCTGAAAACATAAGGCAGGATGACCTGGCTGAGGAATGTTGGGTAGGGTGGGGGTTTCTTTAGTCTGTGTTCAGGAAAGGAGAGGACATCTGATTGACAACCAAACCACAAGAAGGAACCAGTCATGAGAAGATATGCGGAATGGTGCCCCAGGAAGAGGGAACAGCTTGTGCAAGGGCCCTGAGACAGTAAGTTCTGTCTCCAGAACAGAAAGGAGGTCAGTGTGTCTGGGGTTGAGTGAGGGATGGCAGGGATTGTTTGGTGAGTGGGGAGAAATAGGCAAGGGCAAGGGTATGCAAGATCTTGCCAGCCATGGGAAGAAGGGTGTTCAAATTTTATTTTAAAAGCCATGGGGATGCAATAAGGCAAAAAAGGGAAATCAAAGGCATCCAACTTGGTAAGGAAGAAGTCAAACTATCCCTATTTGCTGATGATATGATCCTATACCT